AGGATTATGGGTTCTCAACGGAACAAAAACTTGAGCTATCACGTGTAGTGCATTTAATAAATGAATCCACTTTTTATAGCAGAAAAAACTCTAATCGCTGATAACGTTGGGAACAGCGTCGTTGGTGAGGTAGGAGTTCTCAGTGTGTCTCATGCAAAACTTTGTGACAGTACTGAACATCCTAAGAACGCACAACCTATTGAGAACATGTTAATGCAAAACTTAGTAAATTTCGGTTGAGAATTTTGGAACGGGAAATAACGTATTTGTTTTTTTTTGAATAGATTATCGATCTGTTTTGTAGGAGTGGTAATATTAAGTTTGCATGGAAAGAAAAATTTTTTTGCGAAGCGAAGCAAAAGTGTTTTGGATGGGTATCAATTTGGGGCTTTAGAAATGGTCGTGGTAGATAAAGGGGTAATAATTGGAGGGATGAGTTCGTTTTTTTTTCTGGTAAAAAAGCATTCGGCTAAAATTGGATGGAACGGACGAAAGTATGTAAAATTTTCTGTTTCAAAAGCCACATAGTGAAGACTTCCAGTAAGGGCTCGCGAAAGAAGTAGTGACGAAAAACTCATCTCTAGAGCACGAAAACTTCCCGGGAGGACAGGTCATGTTTATTGGCCTTATTAGTTCGGATTAGTTTCATTGGAAAAACCACAAGTACACTCTTAATGCTTGTCTTAATCGATAAAAGTGAACAGTCTTACCGAGTTCGCAGCGCTCGGTGGAGGGAATCGAGGCGGTGACGGCGTTTCCGGAGAGAGGATCAGGTGCCGCAAGATACCCTGAAATTATAAGTCAATCACTAATCACTACTGTAACTATAAGTAATGCTTTCTGTAAGCTTTCTCCTATTTTATGTAGAGAAAATCCGCCACGAGAGTGTTGGGGAAAGCGTGAATACGTACATCCTTGTTCGAGTTCAGTTGGGGCAGACTGTGCGCATAAATTTGTAACTGCAGACAAAGCAACACACATGGCACCAGATAGCATCAGGTATTTCAAGGAGCGTACGCACACCATGATTACCCATACTACTAAGTCAGCAACAACCCATATGTATTGTACCTCGTCACAGGAAGCAAGGTATACTAACAATTTAGGAAAAATCGGTCACTCAATATAGTTTCAGGGTATTTATAATCCAAGCAACGATTCGACTTAGTCTACCAGGCCTTTCTCACGATCAGGGTGAATAACGGTCGAGGAAATCCTCGACCATGGCTCTGTACTGTGCGAGAGTAGTGTCGAGAGTGAATGTACGCGCGGAGAGCACAGACGGCTCGCGGTGGCGAGAGTGAATGTCCGCGCGGGAGAGCGTGATGAACAGGCGAAAATCCTCGACGAGCCGTCGACAAGTCCTCGACCGATTTTCACCCCTCGTGATTCCGTTTTCCGTCTTATTTCAAGAAACAGGATACTAAGCATGGTGATGCTGTTTG